ATCATACCTTCATCTTCCTCTTCAGTCAAGACATCCCTCGTGAACGAAGACAATTGTTCTGTGAATTGGCCGGTCAGCGAAGTTATATTAGTACGAGAAAACCAAGACATGTTTCCAATACAATTTTTAGTAACTTTATATTATTTCAAAATTTACATGGCGAACTGAAAATAGCAACAGTTAAGAAAGTATACTTCAGAACAAGCATAACCAGTTGCTGTGCTAATAGCACAATATGTTCCGACCATACTCTTCGAAAAACTATTCTAAAACAAAATTGATTTTTCAAAATAGTGTCGTAATTTGTATGTGATAAAAAGATCTGAAGGAAGCCTGAAATTTAGGCTTATTCGACATTGTTAATAAAATAGGAAATATGGTTAACAATTTTTGTCGAAAAATGTCTAGAAAAACAAACAAGAAATCAAAAAATAAGAATAGTCGGTTGCTGGGCAAGATTTTTTTTTCAAATGAGGGTAGTTTTTTTTCGGCGTGGTGCGATAAAAGGATATGAACGAAAAACTGGAATTTAACTATATTCGAGTCATAATAAAATAGTCAAATTGGACAACACTTTTGTAAAAAAAAAACATTTACTACGAACACAAAAAAAATTATCAAAAAAAAAAATTTTTAATTCCCAAATGGCGCTTTAAAAAACTCCAACAAGAACTTTATTTGAGTAAAACTAAGTTTTCATGGCCTAAATCAGGCAAAAATAAGCTCTCTCGAATTTACCTTAAAAATCAAAAAAATTTGAACCAGTTTTTCTCGATACTGGGACAGTTTTTCGAAACTTTTTAAAGTAGTTCGAATCACGACTGAAAGGGCTTCAATATGATATATCACTCAACCCACACCCATGATTATTTGTGGCGCCTGATTTTGAAACAAGGATAGCCGGTTGCTGTACAAGTAGCACAGAATGTTCCGACCATATTCATCAGCTTGAAGGAAACAAATTGCGCTCGCAAAGGAAACAAATGTTCCGACCATATTCATTTGCTTGAAGGAAACAAATAGCGCTCTCCAAGTGCCAACTCGAAATGGCGTCAAAATTTGATTTTGAATTCTGATGACTTTGAATTCTGTATTTCAGATTCCTGAGTGGAATAAAAAATACCCTATTGCTCGTTTATTCAAAATGGGTATATTTTCTGAAAAAATACCATTCTTAAGACATTGTTGAAATCCAAAGAGCTTCAAATTGATAGACTTTTTCTACGGAATTTCAAAATTGAAAACAATTCATGAGTAAGACAATCGCCTTTTTTCGTTTTTCTTGACACTTTTCCCAATGCATGTTGGCTATGTTGAGTCCCTTCACTTGTGAATAAATGGTTTTAACCTTACACTATTTGATGGATAAGTACACAAATCATCGCAGCTCTTTCGAAACAACACCAACATCATAAGCGAAGCTAAACAACATAATGTGAAACGGAACCTTGAGGAAACCGTTGAGGTGTTGAAACTCAAATTTAGGAGCCTGCTGAAAAACAAAGCCAGAGTTGTAAACATTCAAAATATGGAAATTACACAAAATCAAAGCTGAAAAACTTACGACTAACAGAAAAATTTGGGGTATGTAAAATGAGTAATTAAAATATTAACTTGCCCACAATATATATGTCGAAGCTATGCCTGTTTAAAAATTGACGAAATAATTCAGTTACCCAGTCAGATGAATTATTGATAAAGAGTCTCTTTGCCGATTCTTTAGCGCTAGCTTCAATAATATTTGCGAATAAAAAACTGTCAAATTCAACGTTTTGTCAAAATAAATGGGTTTGCCGATCAGTAAGGTTAAAAAAAACGCGATCCCATGAAAAAAGTATTACTGCAGCTCAAAACACTAGCTCAGCACTTCAATTGCGTTAGAGGAATTCTCAGTTTCAATTACGACTTTGTGCATGTATGATAGTTTCTTTCTAAGAGCCAAAAATTTCTGTCTGCTTTTCTCGACATTCAGAAAACATTCCTTTTAAATTTTCTTATATCGATACAATCAAGTCTGAAAGGGCTTTTAAATGATTTTTCACCCAACATCATCTGACGTTAAATTTTCGAACCTAATTATGCGTGGGAGAAAAACACCTGCAGCTTTAGTTCCTCCTCATTTTCAAGGTTCGCAACAAAAAACTGTTCAAAAAAGACAGCTGAAATTTTAAAAAATCTACTAAGATTCGCACAAAAAAGCTGTCATTAGAAAATCTGTTTCATCATTCTTTGTCAATTTTATTTAGAAAGCTTCAAAACTTTCATATTCGTTCCTCGCCGAATGCTCAGAACATGTAAAAATCTCCCGCATTAACCAGATCCATTTTTACAAATGCTTTTTCAAGTCTTTTTTGCTCTGTATCTCAGAAATACTTTCAAGATTTTACTTTCAAAGTTTGCAATTAAGATAAAAGAAATCGGTAAAATTAAGACAACGCAGGTGTTTTTTTATTCAGGCATCTTAAAATGTTGCCCAGGAAGCCACGTTTCTTTGACCAAAAGTTCTTAATTTCTACAAAAAAGCAAAGGCTGGCCATATTAACTTTTTATATCTCAATTCAAGCTTTAAAAGCTCCTTCTATTCACGCACAAAACAACAGCCAGACCTATTCTGATTTCTTTTCACTTCATTAATTATTAAATAAAAATCTAAACGGAATACAAATTTGCAATTCAGTTATATCAGTGTACTGTACCACACACAAAAAGGTCTCTTCTTTATTTTCTTTTTCTTTATTTTTTTTCTCTTCTTCGCGCGTTTTTCTCTGTCATCCATTTTTCCTATCTGAATTTAAGTTCGAAACATATGGGAAGAAATTTCTTCTCACATATGTGAAGAAATTTTCACTGGACGAAATGCAAGCAGAGATTTTACAATCAAATTAAAAAATGTTCAGAAGGCTTTTTAGACTAATTTGCAAAATCAAGAAACGACGTTTCTTAATATTCGTTTTATTTAGTCTAATTTTATTGATTTGTGCTTCTGCTTTTATACTCTTTGACACAAAACTCAATTCAATAACATCACAAAAAATAACGACAAGGTTAACTTCAGAACAGATAAGACATATAACAGACTTAGAAGACCAGTTAAGTTCTAAAACTCCTTGTGAAATGCTGGCATCTAGCACCGGAAAGTATCGCAAAATTACGATTGCAAGAATACTTGGCCCAAGTTTAAAACCATTGCAAAGTCCACAACAAACAAGTTTAAACTTAAAACATACACTTCGATATGAAAATAATTTGAAATCTTCGAAAAAATGTATCCATAGTTTCTGGATTATTGAATGCAGTTTTAACAAAACCGAAACTCAAATTATAACACAAACTTTGAAACTCTTCGACGAAGAATTCTATTTTACGCCGAACTGTTCGAAAACGCCTGAAGCCTTATTTCATCATATTATCAATTTGAACAATTTTCGAAATTACGCAATAAAATTGGCGCTTCGTCAAAACACAGACTGGATTTTACCGTTGGACGGAAATATTTTCCTTTCAAGCGAAGCTTTAAATAACATAGTTCGAAGTCTTGTTATTGCATCATATATTGGGAGCCCTGTGAACGCAATACCGTTATTTCGAATTTTACAATGTCAAAACCAATTATTTACTGCAGATTTTTCATTCGATAAAGAACTATCGCATTCCATGATGAAGTATTACCGCAACTTTCCAACAATTAGTGAAAGATTAACTCGTAAACAGGAGGGACAAATAGCAATCTCAACAACCTTCGACAATATCCTTAACTTCTTTTCCGATTCTTATCTTTACAGTAAATTGTCAAAAATGTCTTTAATTGAAGATTTGGAAAACTCAAATTATTCAAGAATTCGATGTGGTTATAGAGCTGGTGTAGAATTGGCTGATGATTCAAGAGGTCGAATGCGACAATACATAGTGAATTGCGGTTACGTTTTGAGACTACTCTTTTGGCCTGAAAACGATACTTGTAGTTTATATACGAGAAAGCCAAAAGTACACAATAGATCAAGGATACCCACAGAACGTCCAAATATAACTGATTTGATTTGGATTTCCAAAAAATTACGAAGGCGACCTGAAGTTAACATGGAAATCAGAGGAAGACTTCGTGACTTATCAGCGCTGAATTTAAAAACAATTTTGTTTAAATCGATGTTCTGATAGTTTTGTAATTCAACTTTCGCAATAACTATTTTGACCAAGTTTTCTTCCAAAAAAAACGCTTTTAATTAGTACTTATGTAAGTATACGTTTGATTATCGCATGCTAATCACAAATACAAGCGAAGCAAAAAGCAGATTTTGTAGCAGATTACATGTGATACAAAAACTATCATGATGATCAAAAGAAAAAAATGATTTTTCATAACTGCTCAAAATTCCCTAGTTAAAAGTTGTAACGTGACATTAGGTTTCACGTCAATTAAGAAAGCATTTGAAGGCTCTTTCGACAGGGTTTGACGGATGTGCAAAGCGTAGGAAGAAAAACTGACATGAATAGTTGCCTAAAGTTTTTCCAGAAAAAATCACCAACTCCATATGTGAGTGAATCAACCATCAACCCGCCCAAAGAATTGGTTCAAAAACCTCGCAAAGCGTTATTGACCGCATTAAATTGCAATTAAGTTTGAGCTACATTTGTGACCAAATTTGCAATGCAAATAAACCCCTAACTTAATATACCATGAGAGCTAAGACACGCAAATTGCACATGAAGTAATGAAATCTCGTGCTTCATAAAACGACCTTCAAGCTTTACCAAACCCGAAATTCATTATGGCTGCGGTAGGCAATTTAAAGTATATCAGCAACCGAATAAAAGTATTCAAACGACCCCAATCAAATTTTTATCCGCAAATTTCTAATGAAAACTCGCCTCCAAAATTACCTCCAGGGCCATTTCCAAGAGCTACATCTTCAAAGATTTCAAAATTAAAATTTGAGGAGTTGTTAAAAACGAAACAAGATGTTCTTAATCGTTCTATAAGGCCTTACTACCGAAACCCAATTATGGTGTCGTCAGCTAGCATGCAATGGATTTTTGACCAAAACCAGAAACGATACCTAGACTTTTTTGCTGGAATTGTCACGGTTTCAGTAGGTCATTGTCATCCCCGACTCGTCAAAGTTCTTCACGACCAGGCCCAGACATTGTGGCATACAACTGCAATTTACGTTCACCCTCAAATCGTGAGTTACGCCCAAAAATTGGTGTCTAAATTTCCAGATCCACTCAAGGTTGTTTACTTTGTGAATTCGGGAGCTGAAGCAATCGACATGGCGCTACTTTTGGCTCGCCTACACACTGGAAATATTGATATTCTGGCACTTAGAAATGGTTACAGCGGACGCAGTTTTGGCGCTATGGGAACAAGCGCAGTTCCAAAATGGAATTTCAACACTCCCACTAGACACGGAATTATTCAAGTTGGAATGCAAGTCGACCCTTACAGAGGTCATTTCGGTGGGTCTAACTGTCGTGACAGCTTGTCTCAAGTGATTAATCGACCTTGCAATTGCCAATCAGGATACTGTGAAGCTTCTGACAAATATGTGCAAGAAGTTCAGGAAACTATAAATTACATGACCAGTGGCAATGTTGCTGGATTTATCAATGAGGGAATTTTAGGAGTGGGCGGCGTTGTCCAGTTTCCAAAGCATTTCGTCAGGCAAACCTATGATTTGATTCGAAATCATGGGGGTGTCTGTATTGCCGATGAAGTTCAGACTGCGTTTGGTAGACTTGGATCTCACTACTGGGCATTTGAAAGTCACACAGTCGTTCCCGATATAGTCGTCATGGCGAAAGGCATCGGCAACGGGATTCCTCTAGCTGCGCTAGTGACGACTCCGGAAATTGCAAGGAATTTGACAAAAGCACTTTATTTTAACACGTACGGTGGGAACCCAATTTCAACTGCAGTTGGAGAAGAGGTATTGAATATTATCGACGACGAAGGAATGCAAGAAAAATCGAAAACATTGGGCGAAAAACTAATCAAGGGTCTAAAAACTATACAGCATGAGTTTGAGATAATTGGTGACGTTAGAGGCAAAGGTCTAATGATCGGTGTAGAGCTAGTAGAAAATAAGCAAACTAAGCAACCCCTCAATCAAGACAAATTCCTCAAAATTTTCGAAGATCTAAAAGATATGGGATTACTGGTCGGAAAAGGCGGAGCATATGGGAATGTTTTTAGGCTAAAGCCTCCAATGTGCATTGAAGAAAACGACGTGGATTTCGCTCTGGAGGTATTCAGATTTGTGGTGAAAGAAAATTCGAAAATGTGATGTAGCGATAGAGAATAAGCTTTGCAATTGTCAAAATTGGTACCCATTTAAAGCCAAAATGCTTAAATCAGCAAATGTTCCCACTACATTACCGACTGAAGATAAGATGATGACTGCATACTAGGACCATGAAATTAGATTTAGATGTAAGATAAGACAATTTATTCAATAAATGAATCGAAAAAGGCAGTATGCTAAAAACTATTAATTTTCAAACACTCATGACTACAGTAAACAATGGTGCATTAACTATGAATTGTAACATTCGTCTACTGCAGTCACACATGAGGCTTAAGAAAAATAGGCCCTATAACTATTGGCTCAAGAGTCAGGGACACTATCTCTTGTGTTTTTCCACCTCAAATCAGTCGGAGCCAATTCGGTTCGCTTGTGACATGAGACTACGACCCGCTACTGCTTAAGGCTACTACCAAAAAATCCCCCCACTCTAGAATTAAGAACGTCCCCATACTTAGGTCTCAAAATACCCAAAATACATGAACGCCGTTAAAAACCGTTACAATCCGTTAAGTTACTTTTTTATTAGACAGTGGAACTTTGATCCATTTCAGATGGATCAACCTAAAACTCGCCTTACCTCAACATAACGATCATAAAACACACTCTAGAATTGTGCCAGTCGGTCATGTCTGGAGGTTTGACCTTGAGAAACACGTGATTTTGGAGTGAAATTTTAATTTTGGAAATTTCGAATGGAGCCTGTCATGCTCAGTTTTCTCGAACCAACTGAAAATGAAAAAGTCAAAAATCAGAACGACCGAATTAACAATTGCGGGAAACTGCTCAAGAAAAAGGCAGGAAATTGCTATTCGCAATTTCCCGATACGAAATAATAAGAGAGTAGAGCTGTCTTATCCTGAAAACAGGAAAATAGAATACAGACTTGAGAAAAGACGACTATTCGAATGGAAAGGAGTGAACATTGAATGGAAGAGTGGACAACTCGAGTGTCCCAAAGGTTCATTCAGAGACTTTGATTCTTGAGACAAAACTTACTTCTGTTGTTAAAACTAATTAGCATCAAAACTTATTCAGTTATATTATTTAATTCTCAAGCTGCTCATCTCTTACTTACTCCTCATACTCAAGTGCATCGACATGTGAGTTCTCAATTTAAATTTCTCGAGTGTATTTTAAAATAGTTATGTTGAGATAAGGCGAGTTTTAGGTTGATCCGTCTGAAATGGATCAAAGTTCCACTGTCTAATAAAAAAGTAACTTAACGGATTGTTCCGACCCGGTTTTTAACGGCGTTCATGTATTTTGGGTATTTTGAGACCTAAGTATGGGGACGTTCTTAATTCTAGAGTGGGGGGATATTTTGGTAGTAGCCTTAAGCAGTAGCGGGTCGTAGTCTCATGTCACAAGCGAACCGAATTGGCTCCGACTGATTTGAGGTGGAAAAACACAAGAGATAGTGTCCCTGACTCTTGAGCCAATAGTTATAGGGCCTATTTTTCTTAAGCCTCATGTGTGACTAAAGTAGGCGACTGTTACATAGTGTTTTTATGGCGCTCCTGGGTGTTTTTACGACATCATGACTACGGAGTCGAACCCACTTGACACAGCTCCGGGCTACATGCCCATTCTAGAGTACCGGTGGTACGGTTCAGCGGGAACGTGTAAACCTTCCGGTTGTACCGTGATAGCTTTTTAAGAAAACTCAAGAGAACTTCCTGGTACGCTCTCCGAACGAGGCTTAGCTAACCGAGTAAAGGGGGCAACTAGGGGGACAAAAACACGAGCAAAAGAATACAAATAGGAACAAAAACCATAAAACGAAAAAAGACAGTGACTTTGATACCAAATTAGTTGGATCGAACCTTTGTACTAATTAAATAGTATACACATACTGTTTTATAATACCGATCGTTTCGATCAATCTAGCAATTTAAACCAGTGACTTCGGTAAGGTGCCCGAGTGGGGGGCGTTGTTAAAGGTTTTCAGATAGATTGCGACCCAACCGGACCACTAGGAGACTTGACTGGAAAGGGTGACCAGTCGAGTGGGAAAGTGGTTCACAAGGATCGAAACGGACCACTAGGAGACTTGATTGGAAGAGGTGACCAGTCGAGTGGGAAAGTGGTTCTGCTGTCAAGGGCAGGACAGAGACAACCAGCACAGGATCACTACAAGAGGACGCACAGGGGTGTTCTCAAGTCGAACAACGGGTATCGTTAGAATCCACATTACATTATAGGAAATACGTGTAAAGTTGGATAAGCGGAGTCCCATTGTTTTGAGGCAGTTTTTACTCAAGCAGGCCTGGAAACAGGTGTACGGTTTTCTCTCGAGAGGTTTAGCACCCGGCGCTTAAGGGATTTTTCGGCTTAAGAGGGGGGCTAAAGAGGGGGGAGGTTAGTAGGGGTGCTGGTTAGGTTAGAGGTTGGCGGTTGTAAATTGTAAAAAGGGGGGAAATTAGAGTAACTAATTAATCGACATCGTTGATTTAGTTACATTAGCCATCAACACGCGTGGTAATAATAGGTGGAAATCCAAAATTTAACTCTAGTTAAGATTGGTACGCTGGTTGGATTGGTAGGGGGGAACGGACATAGACAGTTTTTGTGACACCCAATAAGATCACTAGTGGGGGGAGGAAAACGCGTGGCGATTAGGTACCAGACATTTTTTTTTCGCCACAAGATTGACATTTGTCTCCTTTGAATTTTAGGTGGGTTGATTTCTCTGTTTTATTATTTTTCTGGTTTAAAAATTTTTTTTATACATATTGTTGCATTTTGGTGAGGATTTGCGGTTGGTTTTTATACAAACAGGTGATCACAAGATACCTGCGCACAAGTTTTGGCTTTCAATTGCTGGGAACATTGAAAAAGAGGTAACTATAAAAGGGGGGGCCAGATTTGGCAACTAAGAGAGGGTTTTTGGGAAAATTTTCACTAGAGCTTGAGTGGTGGTACAAGGTACAGTGAACCAAGAAGTCCCTACAACGAAGAAGAGAGAAATCCGATATCCAGAAACTCGGTAACGAGTCTTGGGACAGTACCGAATTAGTCTAGGGACATTACAGTCTGGGGACAGTCTTGGGGCAACACAGTCTTGGGACAGTGCAGCATTGGGGCAGTCTTGGACCAGAGCAGTCTTGGAACGAAACGGTCTTGGGCCATTAGTCTTGGGACGTTCGTCTTGGGACATTAGTCTTGGGACGTTAGTCTTGGGACGTTGATCTTGGGACGTTGGTCTTGGGACATTGGTCTTGGGACGTTAGTCTTGGGACGTTAGTCTTGGGCCATTGGTCTTGGGACGTTAGTCTTGGGACGTTGGTCTTGGGCCATTGGTCTTTGGACGTTAGTCTTGGGACGTTGGTCTTGGGCCATTGGTCTTGGGACGTTAGTCTTGGGACGTTGGTCTTGGGCCATTGGTCTTGGGACATTGGTCTTGGGACGTTGGTCTTGGGTCATTGGTCTTGGGACGTTAGTCTTGGGACGTTGGTCTTGGGCCATTGGTCTTGGGACGTTAGTCCTGGGACGTTGGTCTTGGGCCATTGGTCTTGGGACATTAGTCTTGGGACGTTCGTCTTGGGCCATTGGTCTTGGGACGTTAGTCTTGGGACGTTGGTCTTGGGACGTTGGTCTAGGGACGTTGGTCTGAGGATACCAACAAGAAGTACTGGGACAACACTGAATAGTCTTGGGACGGTAAAGGGAAAGTCTTGGGACAGCATTAGGAAGGGGGCACTACAAAAGTAATAGGTTAGGTTGAAGTACCAAGTATAACAACACGTTCCCTATCCTAACCTAACAAGAAAGAGCTTACAAGAGTTTAAGAAAAATTGTTTTTAGCGAATTGTCAATTTCTTTTTCCTTCGAGTTTTTAACCTTAGAGTAGAATTTTTGTAGATAATAATACTGTAAATAATAACAATTGTAAATAATGAGGCGGAGCAGGGTACCGGTAGCTGAAAAAAGATCTACCGAAGCAAAGTATAATTCGTCGCTACGCAAAGCAACATCAATGGGTCCGAAGATAACAAAGAAGAGCTTTTCAGTTAACATGGACAGCACAAGGAGTACAACGGAGAACAGAGCAAAAGAGGGCACGGAAGGGGAACGAGTAGAACCCACCATCGAGATTGATCTAGAGACACCCGATCAAAGTGTGGATGAAACAGGGAAAATGGCGACGGAGTCAACTCCAATGCCCAATGCAGAAGAACCAAACCCGAAACCCATAGAGTTCTCACCCATAGACTATGCGGAAGATGCAATAGGCAACACCGAAGAAACGGTGAAAGAAGACTCTCAAGTAAAAAAGACATCTTTTACGGAGAAGTTGGCAATAATGGTCGGAATAAAAACGAAAGAAAACGTGACCGAAGAACCAAAAGCTGAAAGAGCACGAAAATTTGGGACAGTAAGCACGAAGACGACAGAAGCCAACCCAAGAGAGGAACAAGCTAAAGCAGAGGCTGCGGCCAAAGAGAGACCGACAGCTGACCATGAAGAGACTGCCATTGAGCTGGGTGACTTGATGGCGAAACTGGATCAGATTGACAAAAAACTGAAGCACAGTGAAGAAGACAGAGAGGTGATAAGAAAAGAATTAAGATACAACAAGCACGAGTATCTAGATAGTTATTTTAACCTAGCTAAGGCAACAGATGAGAGACTCAAGGAAATGTCAGATAAGGTAGAAGCCACCAATGAAGAACGAGAAAAGAACATCAAAAAAGATATGCAACAACTGAAAAACCGATATGATGATGTCAACAGCCAATTAGGAAGCCTGGAAAAGAGAATGGACACAATGAGCAAGAGTCAGGCCGAAAGTTCGTGTGCAATACAGGCGAAATTGGATGCAATCTTGAGAAGTTCTACTTCACAAGAAAGACCGGCAGCGGATCGTACGCAAGGCACCAGAGTTGACTTTGTAGAACCACAAAGGAACAAACGGCAATCGACACCGTTGTCCATAACCAGGGATGCGGTGAGCATAGCACCAACAGCTGCGAAAACAA